AGTTTGGTTCTAACAGACTTCTCGTGGCCACATGAGAAGATGCTGCAGTGATCAGAAGAGCGCGTTTATCAGCAGTAAATGTGGGCCTTTACTTAAGAAAATTTAACATGTCGTTTTACTCCTTTTAAATGCGTCTGGACTGTTTCTCCTGAATGTTTCCCGTCAAGTGTTGCTCGTATCAGCAATTATGTCAGAAAAAAGCCTGACATTTCAACAAACTTGTGGTAATGAACTTTATGTGTATACACGCCCAGTGATGTCTGAGTAAAACTAGATTGACTTCTAACAACACAAATATGGCATAGTAATTAAGCACACTTAACATGAGGCAATGATAACACTATATCCTCAGTGCTTAGAGATGCTTGAGACCAATTCTGATTTCACATAATTAGAAAAAATAAGGTTTGTTATGCTGCTGCTACATTGGAAAATGGAAACAATAATTCTTTATTTGGATAAATTGTTTTTCTATGGCAGTCAGGAGTGAGACTGCTTGTCAGCCCGGTCCCAGGGGGCTGCTTCTATCTGTTTTCAGACCTGATTTTCTCAGACTCAATTCTCTTTGTGGATCCCATGACTTGCTGCTGTTTTTATGTGCTGTAAGAAAGGCAACAAAGCACATCTGGCAGCTTTAATGATATGATTTCCCATCATCCTCAGCCACCTCCATTATGACCTCCCACAGAGACGTGCTGGCTGCATTTAAGCATTAGGTGTAGGTGTGTGTTAGTCTGTCTGTGTTTACGGTGTGGTGCGAGTGTGTGTGAGCGCGCACAGGCCAGTACACAGGCCAGTACACCGGTGATGGAGCAAACTGGCCCGAGGGCAGCTTTTGTGGAGAATGCCCCAGAAAGAATCAGAAAGAGAAAGAGGCGAGATGGGCTGCGTGCTCTCTGATGTGGAATATGGACAGAAAGAGCTTATCAAACCCAGATATACACACTGATATCCTCCTTTTCATACAATAACACTCTTCACTGTTCAACTACCCAAATTCTCTTTAAACCATCTTGTGACTTTAACGTTAATAGAAGCGTAATTATTATCTTTGCATAATACACACAGGGCGCTGGTGACTTGAGGCATTAGAGCGCAAGCAGAGCATGTTTGACCTTTCGCTACCTCGAATCCCACATGTAAATTTAACCGTTCGTTCCAGCGGGGGACGCGGGAGCAAAAGTGACTATCGACGAGGCGATCGAAGCCACCTGCTAACGACACGGCCGCTCCAATTAACGTAACCTCGAGCACGGGCTGACCGCAGAAGTCCCATGTAACCTGCACAGTACACGGAGAGGAGCTGAGGGGACGGAGCAACAGGCCAGATCAATACATGTCCGATCACTTGTGGTCAGATGGGATTAGGGTGACCAGGTATGACTGAAATACTGCTGCTGCTGCTGCTGCTGCTGCTGCTGCTGCTGCTGCTGCTGCTGCTGCTGCTGCTGCTGGGAGGGAGGATTGTTTTGGGTCTGAGGGGGAACAGGGGAGAACTCTGAAGTGGAGCCCTGCTAAAGAGCATGACTAACATGGCGTGGTTACCATTACAAGTTTTTCATTCCAAGAAAACTAACACCGCTCCGGTCTTAGCTACACACACACGCACGCACACACACACACGCAGACACACAAGCTCCCATTGCTCGCCATGTGTCTTCAGCCCTCTGCTTCAAACACACACTTTCTTTCTTTCAATAAACTCATTTTGTAGAAGCAACAGCACCATTAAGTCGTTTACACTTTACGCCCATGCTATTTGTACAAATTTTCAACATTCTCATAAACAAATGTGGCATTCAAAAGCTGGCAGTACAGTTAAAAAAAACCACCTACAGGCATTTTAGCACGTCGAGGATGCCAGTGTCGACATATGTACGAGGGCTGGGATGTAGGATGTATAAATCTTAGCCTGCTGCTTATATTCAAAAGCAGAATATCACACGTTTCGATGGGGCACAAAGATTGCAGTGTAATCGTAGCCATCTTGGGCATGCAGAATCATTAATCCCTGGGCACCGTGACGCTCCGGATTGGAAGAAACCAGAGGCCTTGAGCAAGACGTTCAGCCAAAGGACGTCTCGGCGGAGTTTTAACGCAGCCGTGATTTACAGGCAGCTCAGCAACACATGCAAAAGTGTAAAAACTTCAACAGGACGTCCACTCTTTTAACAAATGGATTGTGGCACAACTTTGGATGGCGCAGTTGAGATCTGGCCTGAGTTATGTCTTAATAAAAAATATACGTCTTTTACAACAGTGGAAATGTACCTTCTCAACGCAGCAGTAAAATTGCAGAGAACATCGCGATCTTGACACTTGAAGTAAGGCCGGCAATTAGAAGGATGTAAATAAAATAAATGAGAGCAGTGAAAAATTAGCGGATGGGAAAAAAAAGAGGGAGATTGCAATATAGCTTTGGAATTAGTCTGGTTTAATAAGAGGTTATAAGAATGGTATGGGTGGGGGTGTAAGGGTGTATGGGTGGGGGTGACGGGGGCTAAAGCAAGGTCATTAACTGGTATTGTCTCCTGATGTGATTAGTCAGGTAGCAAAGTCCATTTGTCACCTGCACAGGCAAATTGAGTTGGTGCTGCACTAGAGGCTATGGGGACTGTATAATATCAACTTGATTACATCAAGGCAGCTGCGGACTTGACACCTTACTGAATTTGTCAGCATTAATCGTTAGGGCCTGTCACAAATCCATCAGCCCCACAGATAATTAGGGTGCTCTCTAATGAAGCTAACGGCAAGCAACCTCGCCCCTCTCTCCAGCCCGCTCCATAAGTACACACGTACCATCGCCTTGTAATTAACCATCAAAGAAATACACACCACTATTTTATCTGCTTTTTCCTTCTTCTCTCACTTCTATACGACGTCGTTCATGAAAGTTGCGGCCGCTTCTGTCCTGTTGTTTGAAATAGTGGATTATTTTGCGCTGACTTTGTAAAAACTTAAAGGTGTAGTATGGAAAAAGATGAATTAAATCCCAAAAAAAATCAATGGTTTTCATTTGTTGCTTGATTGATACAATTCTAAATTCGGAATTAAATAAACAATTCCCTTTTTGTAATAATTTGAAAATAACTGAATACGATCGGTTCACTTTGTACTGAAGCCATAGCAAAATATATAATCAAACACAACATAACTGCACACAACATAAAACAGCCTATTTCTGCACAAACACATACACTCACGTATTCGATTGAAACTACACACTTTCAGACGTCAATATTAAAATTATAAGAACAACATGAAAGCTATGGTGCCGTTGTGAAGGCTGCCCTCACACAGGGGAAGCCACAGGTCAGCAGCGTTAAGTCATGATTATTAAAAGTATTATTGTGAAAGGCTTATCTCAATCTTAGAGCTTCCTATCACACTGGATCCACCCCGTTTGGCCCTCTGCAACTGACCGTTACAAGCCATCACGACTCGCCGGGGACATAGGATCAATGATGTGTGTGTGTGTGTGTGTGTGTGTGTGCGGTGAGTGAATACGTGTGTGCGGTGTGTGTATACGTGTGTGTGCTTATGTTTTTGTGCGTGCAATACAAGGAGGGGTCAAATCTATACTACACTTCAGTGCAATTTATTACTGAATACACCCATATTTTACTTACTTTTTACACATTTTGTAAACACATTTGTTAATACCTAACTGCTTTCATAGTTTAAAGTTCCAAGTTGAATAATAAAAAAAAAGTGTGGCATTTTTCTGTGTGTGTATATAGCATCCAAGGCCTGCTTTAGCTGTTTAAACAATAAGATTAAAACTTGTTTAACGTACGCACAATTGTACATGTTTGTAAAAGTTCTGGCGCGATAATTAACGTCTGCGTTTTTGCCATTTGACTGGAGCAAGCGTACAGAAAGCCAAGGACTAGTTGAACGCTCTCCATCAAACACACTTCATCTGATCTTCCTCATCAGCTCAAACCACCATCATCTTTGAGCAGTGCCCTGTTTAAAATGATAAAACCTGCTGAGTTCAAAGTGTTCGTCGACTGGCCCTCCTGTTCGACCCGCTTTGCACCTCATATTTCAAAATCTCTTTAAAATTCTGTTACAGTCTTTTGTTCACTCCAGTTGTTAATGCCTAACTTCAAAGGCTCGGGCTCATTAGCACAGAGGTAGAAACCCCTGTCACTCATTTACATTTGTTTAAAGGCTGCAGGGAGAGGAGAGGAAGAAGGGGGAGTCCAAATCCAAACCACTACAAGTCAAAGTTGTCGGTCGTCTGCCAACACCTGGTTTTATCAGTTGGTCACATAGCTAATATTAAACTAGCCCCCAGCAGTGGATATTGATTTCATTACTGGACTGATTCTTACACAGAATGCGTGTAGAATCTAGATACAAGCAGTGCCTTGCTTGAATAGACTTCCCTGCCTGTTGAAGATACATACATTCATATAAACATTATCTTATGTCGAATTAAAAGTTTTGCCTTTGTACTGACTAACTTATATGCGTTTGGCTAGAAAGCTCAACCCACCATCCTTGGCTGTCTTTTTGGAGGGATTTATTGATGTGTATGGATGAATAGATCAAAGAATGCCACATGACGCACGATCAATCACGCATCAAATCAAGAATGGCAATCCTTTAATAGAATAGAGGAAAGAAGGGGGAAAAACCAGGCTCCTTCTAGTTTTCTCCCCGTGCTCTCTAAGTCAATTATTCATCATTACTCACTCTTGAAGCTCAAAAAGCTGCCTTTTATCTCCATAACACGTTGTTTAGTTTCACTTCAGAAGTGCATGTATAAAAAAAAGAATTCTTGCAAGTTTTTCAGATAGGATAACGTTGCATGATTATGTAGTTTTAACTCTACTTCAGAAGTGAATTACCCGTAGTGTAAACGGTGCAAAATGGGATAATCTGTGATTCAAGACACACAGAGAAAGTTGCGTGTGAGCTGCGAGAGGCTGTGATAAGTGAGAGGTGAAGGCTGGACAAGTCAAAGGGAGAATGTGTGAGGGGTATACCTGCTGAGCGCCGCGGCTCTTGCTGCTTTCTCCTCGGCATGGTGACCGTCACTTTCCACGATGCTTCTCATGCAGGAAAAAAGACGCAATGGAAGTCTCTCAGTTTAGAAAAAACATCCCGTTGTTTTGAAGTGAATCAGTTGAATGTCTTTTATTGTTTTTTTTTTCTTCTTCTGGTTGTTTCTTCGCTTCTGGAGTTTTCGGGAGAGCGCGTCGGATCTGCTTCTTTATGACACCTTCATGTCCATCAAAGATCGTCTTCCTCCTGGTGCATTATCGCAGAGTGAAACAGGCGAAACGCACTCAAAACACCCCGATGTGGATCAGGGCAGAGCGTGCGTTTTGGTTTGGTTTGTTTGTTTGTTTGTCTTTTTTACGCGAACTCGAAATAAATGAACTCTCTGAAAGAATAAGTCCCGAGTGAGCGCTGTGCACACTTGTGACAAGTAACTTATCCTCTTGTTTCTTTCTTTTCCTTTGCCACAGCCCTGAAAGAGAGAGAGAGAGAGCACACAGGACAGACACGTTAGACAAAATTAAGTGTTAGATAGACAGTGTCAGTCCCAGTGCTCTGCCACCTCGCCAGCTCAGCCCACATCGTGCCCCGGACACACTTTTGCTCCCTCCCCGCCTATCACAGCCACTCCAGCGTGCACACCGACTACAAACATACATCCTTTATTACTTACGTTTTTTGTTTTTTTTACGAGTCGCTCATCTCATAGTATTTCAGACAGTTTTTTTGCTTTTTGTTTTTTGCAGAATGGGTGGTTGCTTGATGTGTTGGAGATCACTTGGAGAGAGGGAATGGGGGGAACAAACAAGACGCAGGCGCATCCAAGCTTTGCCAAACAACCGCGACACGGGCTCAAATATGGATCAATTCTTTAAAAAAAAACCTCCACACGAATCTCGGCCGTAGATTAGACGAATACGCGTGTGACTATCCGAGTGGGCTTCGCTGTGTACAATAAAAAAAGGGGAAAATGGAAACGGCGCTGGGATCCAGGAGCAGTTTCAGACAGCCTCAACTGATAGACAGACGCACCGAGTGGCTTTTCCTGCTACATTTTTACTCCTCCCTCTCCACAAGCGTCACCCTGACAGAGGAGCCTACCTGTCAATCTTTTTAATTGTCTTGTTTTCCCCCTCTCTCTCTCTCCCTCTCTCTCTCTCTACCTCTATCTCTCTTTCGCTGCTTTGCTCCCATCGCTTTTACGCACACAAAAAAATCCCACAAAAGGAAATGATCCACATGGAAGTTTACACCAGATAAAAGTTACAAACAGTACGCAGCAACAAGCATGCGTGACATCAGGCTTAACTTAGCTGTCACCAACGATAGCGGCTTAAAGCAGAGAGGAGACGTCTATAATGCGTGGTAATACAATAATAATAATACAGTATAGGTGACAAAACGCGAAACAGATCTCTGAGCGTTACAGCCGTGCGTTTTGTCAGTCTGATCTAACATTCTATTGCTGTTTTATTCTAGGTTTAAAAAGCAATAGAATAAAACATTGACTACGGTTGTTATGGGATGAGGATTGATTTGTTTCACCTTAGTAGGAAGTGAGAGCTGTGTGTCCGGGAAGGGGAGGGACTCAAGCCAGACAACTCGCGAGTTCTCCCAGTGCTACAGGCTATGCGCAGCGATAGCCACACGCTAAATGCTAAATACAGAGAGGTTTTTGGTGTCTCATTCTCGCCGTGTATTGCAGATCTTTGAAGAACACGACTCTTGATTTTTGTATTTGTTTTTTTTGTTTTACTGAGGTGCGTAAGCGCGCTGTCTTGGCCTGGTGCTGCCTTTGCGTAATAGCTTGGGTAAAATAGCTTTGCTCTTACAGCGCTAGGGGTTAAAAGCTATGACGGGTGTATTACGACTGTAGCTGCTGTAAAGTCAAGTTGAACGAGTGAACTTTGCCATGTCAACGCCTTCGCTTCTCTGCGTTCTTAGAGGCGGCGCGGGGTTGCTTCGCGTACTGGGGAGGACAGACGCGCTTTCCCCCGGACTCCTCTTACCCAAGCGCCACATCATTGACATGTCCTACTCCGCGCACTTCATGGATTACAGAGGGACGAGTATACCAGGTGCCATGAGGAAGCTCGTAGTTACTAAGCTCAGCCAGAATTTTCGAGAAGCAGTTTCAGTTCAAGCCGTGTCTGTGCCAACACCGGGGAACGACGAGCTGCTTGTTAGAAATCGGTAAGTTTTACGCGTCCCAGAAGCATCGCCTGTTCCAAATGAGCATACGCATATATATATATACACACCCTCCACTCACTAGAAAGAAGTTGTGCGAAGGGGTCGGCTTACCTCGCTTTAGCCTTGTCCAGTTGTAGCTGCGGTCATCAACACAAAGCAAAATATGTGAGGGATAAGCGTTGTTCAGTAATTCCAAGTTCCGCCCTCGATGCATTTGTCTATCAATCCATCTCGGCATCTCTCAGTGTGTGTGTGTTATCCCTCCCTCTCCCCTGTCTCTACGTCACCAACCTGCAAACAGAAAAGGGCGCACGCAGACACGGAGATGATGGAGAAGGACGATCAGCAGCAGCAGCGCTTATGATGCGGGCTTCTCAGCTCAGCGGACTGTCGGGACAGAGCGGGGGGAATGTAGCAAAAGAACAGCTTTATAATAATGTTAGAATGTGCAATCTGCGATGATGAACATTTGTGTAAAACAAAACAAAAACATGATCTGGCCTTTTATGTTTATGTATTAGTTCAAGTCTCAATTATGCAGAAAGAATTGCGCATACATTACTTCTGCCCGGACTGGTTGCAGTGTATCTGGATTAAAGATACACTGCATACACACCCCCATTAATAGTTTAATGGGGGTGATAGAATTTATGGTATATTATGAAAAAGGCACAGACAAATTTTAAAAAAATGTAATGTTTTGCACACATTCCTCTACGGACTGTTTGTGAGACCTATTTTATTTACATATAAAGTCAAATGAGATGGTTCAGTAATGTTCTGATTTCATATGTGTAACTCACAAAAGCATTTAGTATGAGCTCAAAGTAATGTGTGGTGGGCACAGTAATGAGACACAGCATGCCGCCGCTCCAAAAGACAGTAAATGATTTATTTATGCATTCCTTTCTCACATATTTGTTTCTGTAACCAAAGTAAGATAAAAACAAGCCGTCTGGGTTTGGAGCTGAGGAACAATCTAAGATTTTAAAGTGCAGTTTGTTGTGGGTGTCTGTGAAGACAATGAATCATGACATCATGCAATGTGTTTTGTGATACAAGCCTTTCCCTGTCAGAGCACGACTGTTCTTTTCAGGAGAGAGCGGAATCATTGCCAAAACAAACCTGTGTATGTACCATACAGACGTGTAGAGAGGAGACAAATCAAGTCCTGACCTTCCTAATCTAGAAAATAATATGTCTTGGTTAAATGAAAGGCCGCAGAGTTTGAGTGTAACTGCAGTACAGCCATAATTATCCTGCATCCCTGTTTTATGTTGTGTTTTTCAGTTTTGTGGGAATCAACGCCTCTGACATAAATTACTCTGCTGGACGCTATGACCCCACAGTGAAGCCTCCTTTTGATGCTGGGTTTGAAGGGATCGGTGAGGTCGTCGGCCTTGGCCTCAAAGCCAGCTCAGAGTACACCATTGGGGACACTGTGGCCTATTTCCACAACGGGGCATTTGCGGAGTACACTGTGGTGCCAGCCAAGGAGAGCGTACGTGTCCCCCTCGTCAAACCCGAGTTCCTCTCTTTGCTGGTCAGTGGGGCTACTGCTTATATTGCACTGAAACGTCTGGGAGATCTGACCAAAGGTGAGACTGTGCTGGTCACTGCGGCTGCAGGAGGAACAGGACAGTTTGCCGTGCAGTTTGCCAAACAAGCCGGCTGCCATGTGATCGGAACATGTTCCTCTAATGAGAAAGCTGGCTTCCTCAAATCCATTGGTTGTGACAGACCGATAAACTACAAAGTGGAAAACCTGGGAGAGATCCTCAGGAAAGAGTATCCAAAAGGCATAGATGTGGTGTACGAGTCTGTCGGAGGCAGTACCATGGAGCTGGCTGTGAATTGTTTGGCTAAAAAGGGGAGGCTGATAGTGATTGGTTTCATCTCAGGGTACCAGTCCGCATCCGGAATCCCAGCCTTCAAAGGAGCCACTCTGCCGGTCAAGCTCCTGCAGAAGTCGGCCAGTATGCGCGGTTTCTTCCTGCCTCATTTCTTGAGCGACTATGGAGAGGCGCTGGCTAAAATGATGCAGCTGATGGCCAAAGGAGAGCTGCTGTGCGAGGTGGACTGTGGGGACTCGCTGGAGGAGGGCAGCTTCTCAGGGCTGGAGTCTGTGTTCAGAGCAGTGGACTACATGTATGCTGGCAAGAATCTGGGCAAGGTGGTGGTGGAGATATTACCCGCCGGGCCGGCTAATAGTAAACTTTGATTTAGTACACTGTTAATGCACTGCACAAATCATAAGTGACAGAAATCAATACATTACAAATTACTTATATATAGCTGTGAATTTTGAAGTTAGGAGCAATTAAGACATTGATTTAATTGGTTAAATACTGTTGAACAAAAAAGAATATGCTAAAATGATTGATATTTTATTTTTGTTTTGTTCATACATTGGTGAAAAGAGGCATTTTGATTAATTGCATATATGTTCTGTGAACACATTTTTTGAGTTTTTGTAATCCTGGTTCACCTGGATATACTCAGAATATATTTTTGTAAACTGTTAATGGGATATAGATTTACATAAATAAAGTCATATAATTAAACATGTTTAGCATTCCACTTTTTATTTTTATTCAGTAAATCCTAACATTCCATTTTCATGGCAGAGCCATATCAATATTCAGATCACTGTCAAAAGCAGCAGCCACATTAGTTTCTGCTAAAATATTTCTGGTCCACCTACACATCTAAAAGTGTTTGAGACCCGCCGCCGCTACATGCTTGCTTTTAGCACTCTCCAGCACTTTATCTCCCATAAATATTTGATGATATACTTCATTGTTTTTCTAATAGGGGCTTACATTGGTATG